AGGGTACGTTTGTGTGCATCTGAAATCCTGCAGCACGTTGGCAGAGTGAGAGAACCGTACCATGGCGACCCTGGGGAAGCAGATGATGAGATAATTTGAGACCCATTCCTGATGAGGGTAAGGGATTCCAAGATTCAAAGTCTCGGAACACCTCCCAAAGCATCACTTAACAGGTTCCAAGGAGAGACCCTTTTTTTTCTGAGACAGAGTCGGCTGGTTGCTCAGGCTGGAGGGCAGTGGCCGCAATCTTGGCCTCAAGATGCAAGCTCCGGCCTCTTGCGGTTCACACCATTCTCCTTGCTCATTACCCAAGTAGCTGGGAACTACAGGCACCCGATCACCGATACCAGCAATTTTTTTTTATTGTATTTTTAGTAGAGACGGGGTTTCACTGTGGTAGCCAGGATGGTCTCGATCACCTGACCTCGCGATCCGCCAACCTCAGCCTCCCAAAGTGCTGGGATTACAGGTGTGAGCCACCGCGCCCGGCCAGGGAGAGATATCTTAAAAGAATCATCAGCCCCCTATTCATCCTGAGCACGTGGTTTACTATTTCTTCACTTTGCTTTTACCAAGGTGGAAAATCACAACCAAATATGGCACATATTTTATATATAAAGAAACCCTGGGCTGGGTGCGGTGGCACACGACTGTAATCCCAGCACTTTGGGAGGCCGAGGTGGGCGGATCACCTGAGGTCAGGAGTTCGAGACCAGCGCGGCCAACATGGTGAAACACTGTCTCTACTAGAAATATAAAAATTAGCCAGGCGTGGTGGCAGGTGCCTGCAATCCCAGTCACTTAGGAAGCTGAGGCAGGAGAATCACCTGAACCCGGGAGGTGGAAGTTGCAGTGAGCTGAGATTATGCCATTGTACTCCAACAAGAGTGAGACTCCATCTCAAAAAAAACAGAAACCCTGGTTCAGGGAAATAGTCGGCCCTAAGGTCACTTAGAGAGCAAAGAGATCAATTTAAGAACTTGTGATTACATAGTCGGCTTGGTCTTACCTGGTTGCAACATCCACAGAATCCACATCGTTGCCATAGATAAGTGGGTTGAATTCAGTGGACGGTGTGGACTGCAGGTCATTAGAAGGCCTTCCCAAGAGAAGGGGGATCTCCTGGCCCTCATGAAATTTCTCCAGATTGAGGATGGGCTGGGTGTTGAGGCTCATGCTGGCCAAGGCCTGTGGAACAACAAGAAAATTCCTTATACAAGGCACGTTCCTGGGCAGCTAGCCAATTTCAACTCCAAGGAAAGAGCCTTCCTAAAGTCTTTTACCTCGTATTCTCTGGTCAAAAAGTTCTGCAACAAAGAACAGTGCTAATTTGCAAATCATGGTCAACCCATTTCAGACCTTTCATCTTTGAAACAAAAATCCCAATACTCTAGCCTTTAGAAAACAGTCTGAAATATGTAGCTCTCCATCTTAAGACAACCTAGCTCAAGGCAACTTGATCTTATCTGAAGTCCAGGACAGTTGTTTGCAAAATTATTATGGTCATTAAATGTTTTTTAAAATTGGAATCTATGTGAAACTACGCAGAATGGAAATTTGAAAACATAGCTGCTCTGAAGGACACAGGAAGCAGAGCCTCACATGCTCAGGGATCCCAAGCTAACTCGGCCCCTCAGAGGCTCAATGGGGCAGGGTGAAGACCACTGGTCGAGAGCAGCAGTGCTTCTCAAATGTGAGTGAGGAGAGAAATCACTGGGGGAGGTTGTCAAAACGCAGATCCCGATTCAATATGCCTGGAGTGATCCTGCACTTTAACAAGCCCAAGTGATGCTAATGTTGCTGGTCCATAAACCACACTTTGAATAGCAGGAGTTAGAACACAGGATCAATGAGTCCAAGGATCTTAGCTCCTTCAAATATTTAAAATATAATTCTTGGCGGGGCGCGGTGGCTCATGTCTGTAATCCCAGTACTTTGGGAGGCCGAGACGGGCGGATCACGGGGTCAGGACTTAAAATTCCCACTAGACTCTGCAGTAACAAGGTATCACATTATATCAGCAGTGATGAAGCAACTGAGGTGAGAGGGATGATACAAAATGACCCATTTAAACCCAAACATAGCATCTAGAGGTACTACTAAGTACTTTAGACAACACAGAAAAAGGTTTCTAAACGCCCTTCAAATGAGAGCAGGGAGTCCTAAAAATAAACACAGTGCTATCTACTGGTGTTTCTACACAAGACATAAGGCAGGGGAAGGGAATCAAGCTTTGTCATGTGTTACCTTCAGGTACTGTGTTCAGCATGCAGAGGAAGAAAATAAATCAATAAAAAATGGATGTGAGGAATTACTCAAAGAAAGGAATTTGTTTGTTTGAGATAGTCTCACTCTGTGGCCCAGGCAGGAGTGCAGTGGCACGATCTTGGCTCACTGCAACCTCTGCCTCCTGGGTTGAAGTGATTCTCCTGCCTCAGCCTCCCGAGCAGCTGGACTACGGGCGTCCGCCACCACGCCCGGCTAATTTTTGCATTTTTAATAGAGATGGAGTTTTACCATATTGGCCAGGCTGGTCTCAAACTCCTGACCTTGTGATCCATCCACCTCGGCCTCCTTAAGTGCTGGCATTACAGGCATGAGGCAACATGCCCTGCCAAAGAAAGGAATTTTTGAAGAAAGGAACCTCAGGATCAACTCTAGAAGATGATATAAAAGCAGCCAGATGGTCCACACTACTAACTTCCACCTAACAAGATTGAGAAAATCGGCAGGGCATGGTGGCTCATGCCTATAATCCAGAACTTTGGGAAGATGAAGCGGGTGGATCATGAGGTCAGGAGATTGAGACCATCCTGGCTAACACGGTGAAACCCCATCTCTACTAAAAATACAAAAAAATTAGCTGGGCGTGGGGCGTGCACCTGTAGTCCCAGCTGCTGGGGAGGCTGAGGCAGGAGAACCGCATGAACCCGAGAGACGGAGCTTGCAGTGCGCTGAGATCGCGCCACTGCACTCCAGCCTGGGCGACAGAGCAAGACTCTGTCTCAAAAAAAAAAAAAAAAAAAAAAAAGGCCCCGAAAATGTTCTGAGGCACACATACAAGAAACAGACAGTGAAGGGCTATTTTATACAGTATAATAAGCATTAGAATATAATAAGGCATAAAATGAGTTGGAATCAAAACCACTGAGATTCACTCTGCCACCCAGAAATGGGATATCCCTTTTCTTAAGCCCATCCAGGGTGAAGAAAACTACTCCATTTGAAGTTTGATAGGAAACTGGCTCTGAGAACAGCTGTCTTCCTATAGGAACCCCACAGCATCTATTACTCCCCTCTCTTTCCTTCATTCTTCACGTACCTGCTTTAAATGCTTTTTCAGCTCTAGTGACTCTGGTTCTGGCAGAATAGGCAGCACTTCTGCATTGGTGGGGGCAATCACCTGCACCAGAGAAATGATAAAAGACGTGACCTTAGAGTTTATTGCTCAGGAATTTCTCTTACACAGGGTAAATAAAAATAAGAGGATGTATATACAGTATTATTATATAAACGAACACACGTTATGTAACTACACAATAAGATATGTACACACACATATGACATACATATGCATCTGAAAGGAAATATACCTTAATGCTATTGGTTATTATCGCTAAATAAAAAGATTACGGTTTTGCTTTTCACTTACTTCATTTACGCTTATTTTTATTTTTTTAAAGTTTTACAATGAACACACATAAGGGCTTCCCACCAAAGTTTGAATATACTCACATTGCAGAATGGTCAAATAATTCATTAAGCCTGCACTGAAAGACAGTTTCTTACTGGAAACTATACTCCAGGGAAACCATTAAGAGAGGATCTATACCACATGTAATGGTCTTCAGATCACAACTGTCTGACTGCTCTTGGACATGGTGGAGGCACCACTTAATTCTGGCAAAAATAAATCCTAAAATTCTCTGAGACCTAACCAAGGGCTTATTTGGCCAATAAGGTAAAAGGAGCATTTAAAAAAATTTTTCAATAAGTCTCACAATAGAAATTATCCAACAACTTAGAACGTTCCTGAAAGGAATCTAGAAAAACACATATCCCAGGACTGGGTCTAGAATGCAATCCTCCCCCAGACGCTACAATGCCTCAGCGAAGAACCTCACCCTGTTGCTGTCCAGATCCACTAGCCATACATCATCAGGCATTTTGAAGTCCAGTTTGTAGAGGAAGAAGCTGGCAGGAACCCCAATGATGTACGGAGTTGGAGCCAACAGCAGCTGTGGAAACGATAAAGAAGGTGAGAAACAAAGACAAAACCTATCACGAGCACTTATCAAGTCCAGATTCTTCTAGATAAGGAAATGCAGAAACAATCCCTCTCCCAAAACCCTTGAGGCCAGATGTATTTGAAAATTCAGAATTTTTCAGATTTTTTGAAAGGTTACATAGTACATTTTTTTGTATACAGTAGTATTCCTTATCCACAGTTTCACTTTCTGTGATTCCAGTTACCTGAGGTAAACTGCAGTCTGAAATACTAAAAGGAAAATTCCAGAAATAAACAATTCATAAATTTTAAATTGCAGCTTGATCATATCTGAAGTCCAGGACAATAGTTCTGAGAAGCATGATGAAATCTCATGCTGTCCCGCTCTGTCCCACCCAGACATGAATCATCCCTGTGTCCAGCATATCCATGCTGTATACACTACTCACCTGTAGCCATCTCAGTTATCAGGTCAACTGTCGCACAATCTCAGTGTTTGTGTTCAAATAACCTTTATTTTACTTAATAATGGCCCCAAAGCACAAGCGTACTGATGCTGGCAATTGGGATATGCCAAAGAGAAGCCAAATATATGTCCAAAGAGGTCAGGCGCGGTGGCTCATGCCTGTAATCCCAGCACTTTGGGAGGCTGAGGTAGGCGGATCACCTGAGGTCAAGAGTTCAAGACCAGCCTGGCCAACACGGTGAAACCTTGTCTCTACTAAAAATACAAAAAACTAGCCGGGCATGGTGGCTGTGCCTGTAATCCCAGCTACTAGGGAGGCTGAAGCAGGAGAATCACTTGAACCCGGGAGACGGAGGCTCCAGTGAGCCAAGACAGTGCCACTGCACTCCAGCCTGGGGGATAGATGGAGACTCTGTCTCCAAAAAACACCAAATAAATGCCCAAAGAGAAATTGTTAACCTCTTACTGTGCCTAATTCATAAATTAAACTGTACCATTAGTATGTATATATAGAAAAAAACAAAGTATCTACAGAGTTTGGAACCATCTATGGTTTGAGGCATCCACTGGGGGTCTTGGAACATATCCTCCACAGATAAGGAGGAATTACTGTATTACGTAACAACTGCGGCAGTGTAGCCAGTAGCCTACAGTCATTAACATTTGTTGTGATAAATAAAAACTACAAATTGCATAAGCTTTGCCACCAGATCAGTTCAAATCAGTCAGATTTTGCAGACAAATAAGTTATGACAAAGGATTGAGGACCAGCACTCACAACTTCTTTGAGCATTAGGCCTCCTCCCTCAGGAAGACAGAGGTGACAAAGCTGGAAGATGCCTTGAGACTCACCTGCTCTGCTGATGCCATGCAGGTGGGAAGCAGCGGGATGACAGGAAACATATACTCCAGTGGATAGATCATTGCCACGAATGCCATCACAGACATGGAGAGTGCATTGTAGTCTCGAGACTGTAGCACCACCTGTCATGAGCCATCCAGTAAGAATCACTCCAAAACATAAAATAAGGTTTACAAGAAAACAGCTTCCAACATTACAACTTGGTTTCTAATTCACCATGCCTACAGCTCCAGCTTTGCCTTTCGCACTGCCCTCTGCCCCACCATGCCTGCCACCTCCCAATTCAGGCACAATGGTGATCCTCCCTCACCTGAGATATGCAAATCACTCCCTTACCTTCCTAGTTCTTGTACTGCCCATCCCAGGACCACTCATGAAACAGAACTACTGATATTTCCAAAGAATTAGGTCAGTACAATTAAGGATAAGCCCTAATGAATGGTAAACCCTCTGAATACATCCCACATGATACCAGTATCTTAATTCAACCCACATCTACGGAATACCTGCTGTATACCAGGCATCATGGTACCTCCTGAGCACAAAAAGATGAAAAATATGTAGTCCCTGTCCTCCAAGAGCTCATGATCTGGCCATTGGCATATTTAAGAGTTCCTCCCCTAGAAAGGTCTAGGAAGCTGGCCTCTCACCTTATGCTCTAACAGAATGCAGGTTAGCACCTGGAGACAGGCGTCCACACCTAGAAGTTCCAAGGGAAGGTGCAGTGGGAAATCCACTAGGGTGAATCGAGATGGGTCTGGAAGAGCAAAGGTCAGAGCTGGCTGGAGCTCTTGGGGTAGGACCTCGATGTCTACTCGCTTCTGCCCAGAGACGGGTACTGGGGAGCGCAGCAATCGATAGATCCAGGCCTCAATCTCCCGAAGGTCATGCAGAAGGGCACTTGACTTCTCCTCCACCAGCAGCGATCCAGTAAAGATCCGCCACATGGTGTCCCTGAGAAGCAGACAGCAGGAACCAGACACATTAGCATCAGGAGCTGATACCCCACTGCAACCCAGTATCACCACAGAGGCTCTAACGATGACAACGGGAAAAGGAGCATCATTAGGAAAGCCCAGTCTCTGAGCTCAGATAGGACCAGAAGGTATATACAACAGCAAGAGCAAATGTAAAAATATATACTGGGTAAGACTTACTGTCCTAACCACTGTTAAACATCAAATTACAGCATTACTCCACACACAATTTTGGAAGGAGGTTTAACTCTGCAGAGTCTTTTGCTTAGTAAAGATTAACTCGGCCGGGCGCGGTGGCTCAAGCCTGTAATCCCAGCACTTTGGGAAGCTGAGACGGGCGGATCACGACGTCAGGAGATCGAGACCATCCTGGCTAGCATGGTGAAACCCATCTCTACTAAAAAACACAAAAAACTAGCTGGGCAAGGTGGCGGGCGCCTGTAGTCCCAGCTACTCGGGAGGCTGAGGCAGGAGAATGGCGTGAACCCAGGAAGCGGAGCTTGCAGTGAGCTGAGATCCCGTCACTGCACTCCAGTCTGGGCGACAGAGCGAGACTCTGTTTCAAAAAAAAAAAAAAAAAAAAATTAACTCTTGGCTGGGCATGGTGCTCACGCTTATAATCCCAGCACTTCCGGAGGCCAAGGTGGATGGACCACCTGAGGTCAGGAGTTTGAGACCAGCCTGGCCAACATGGTGAAACCCTGTCTCTACTAAAAGTACCAAAATTAGCTGGGCGTGGTGGCACACACCTGTAATCTCAGCTATTCGGGAGGCTGAGGCAGAAGGATCACTTGAACCTAGGAGGCAGGGGTTGCAGTGAGCTGAGATCACACCACTGCACTCCAGCCTGGGGAACAGAGCGAGACTCCATCTCCAGAAGAAAAAATATTTACTCTAAATACTCTAAATATGCTTAGATAGGTCTGAAGGACCTTGAGTTGCAGAGGAAATTTCCTATGCCCCTCAAAGACCAATTACATGGAATCTCTAAAATGCTCCCATTGGGCAGCAGCAGCGAACCGTACCTTTGTACACCTCGAGGGATGCCCAGCTTCTTGCCCAACAGGCGCTCACTACAGCAGTCCACCAGGCGCTTGAGGGTATACAGACACTCTCGGAAGGTGGAGAAAAAAGGGTAGTGACTGAGCACGCACAGGGACGTGAGAGTACTGTTGCGGGAGCGGCTCCCCGCCTTGGCCCGGCGTTTGCCCCGAGGAGACTGGTTCACATCAGGGGTAGAGTCGGCACTGGGAGGCTGCCGGGATGAGCCACTCTCTGAGCTCTCGGTGCCACCCTCTTCTGAGGCACAGGTGGCGCGGGTTCCTTCCTTCCCATGGGACCCTGCCCCCCCTTCCCCCTTCTCCTTAGGGATTCGCTTCTGGAAGGAGCGGTAGAAGTTAACACAGATGCCGTATCGCGTGACTCCAGTGTCCTTGTCAGTGAGGGTGAAGACAAAAGAGGTATCATCCCGGAGGCTCATGCGCCGCTGCCGCACGCTCAGGCAGCCCTCGGGCTGGCAGAAGAACACGACGTCTGGGGGCAGGGGAAACTCAGCGTGATCCTCTAAGGGGTATCGTCGTAGCAGTTCAGGAGTCTGGGCCACGCTGTCACTGCTCGGGTGCCTGAAGAACATAAAGACAAATTCAGCAGCCTGAAGGGATGGAATGGGCTATCACATTTTAACCATCGTCGATGAATAAAGCTCAAGATGCTATTTTGGATAAAGTAACCTGACTGTAACACCTTGGAAAATACGGGTGCTGCCTGCCATATGGAGCTGGTAGCCTAAGTGAAGTCTGCACTGTCATGAAGGCACTTATTGTGCAACAAGAGATTTTGACAATAAAATTATCATTGGCACCTTTAGATGATTAACATCTTTTAAAGTGAATTAGCTAATAAATTACCAAAAAAGCATACACAGAGGAGGAGCTTTTAAAGTACTTTTCCTTTTTACGAAATAAGAAAACTGAGATATAAAGAGTGTATTTGCTCAACATCACAAAGATGTTAGTTAAGAGCAGGGTTTTGCTTTCAATCCACCTGACTTTGCTGTTTCCCTATTGGCTTCAACGCTCCCATCAGGGTAAAATAACAGGGGAAAATGAGCTATGCAAAGCAACGTGGAAACTGGAGAGGGGAACAACTGCAGGTTTTATGGCTATCCCAGAGGTTAAGACAAAAGTCCATCTCTTCTTGGTTACCTGGCCCCTACGATCACTAGATAGTCAAGTAACCGAGGACAGAACTTCTTCTTTTGCACCATGGTTCCAATTCATCAGTTCATCTCAGAGAAGCATCAGGGCACCAAGCAAGGAGTCAGCATTCCCGGGAGGAATTCTGAAAACCGAAGTCTAATAGGAAAAAAAGTACTGATAAGATCCACTGCTGTGCCTAAGGGACTCATCCCTCTCAACTTCTTCCCGGCCAGGGGCAGAGGTCAGAAGGTCTTCCACTTTCATACTAATGATAGGAGAACTTGACACTTGCCTAGCCTTGTGTCTAGGTTTACGAGCTCACAGAATAAAATGTTAAAAATAGACAGGCAGGGCACGGTGGCTCACACCTGTAATCCCAGAACTCTGGGAGGCTGAGGCGGATCACCTGAGGTCAGGAGTTCCAGACCAGTCGGCCAACATGGCAAAACCTCATCTCTACTAAAAATACAAAAAAAAAAAGCCAGAGGTGGTGGCATACGTCTGTAATCCCAGTTACTCAGGAGTCTGAGGCACGAGAATTGCTTTGGCGGAGGCTGCAGTGAGCCGAGATCACGCCACTGCACTCGAGCCTGGGCCACAGAGTGAGACTCCGTCTCGAGAAAAAAAAAGAAGTAGATAAATAATGGTTCACCTACCTATCCCTACCAGTGACTTCATTTCCAGCTTAACACCTGGGGCTCTGTTTCTGAAAAACAGACCTAGGCCGTCTAATCTGGACTCAGTCATTGTAACAAAAATGGAAGTCACTCTCAGGATCCCTCCAGGGTGGATCAGGATCAAACCAGACTCCTCAACTAGCACTAATCTGCACTTCTAGGTCTAGATGGAAACGCAATTATTCTGTTTCAACAATCTGCATTCAGCTTGATGTGAAACTACCACATAGACTGTCTAGTTAACCATGCTCAGACAATAACAGCTGGCTATTCTACCTCATGTGATCTCAAATGAAAATGTCCATTGCCCCAATTGCCTCCTCTGCACCACTTTTCTCCGCGCTTCAGGCAAGAAAGGAGCCCAGAAGCCACTGCTACTAGCTCTGCCCTTGGTGCTGAATCATAATCTCCCCTCTATTTTGATCTTAGGCTCAGAATCAGTAATACAATACACACAGATGAGTCCTTGTCCTACTATACAATACAGAGGCTATGAATCAGAGGTAGAAATACTAGGATTTCTGCAAGGACAGGGAGAGGGAGAGGTGCTCAGAGAAATTTCTAAACTATGTTCTAAAATTAGGAAAAGCTTTCATGGTCTTAATTGTAATTTATTTCCTTTTAAGTGTCTATGCACTTCTCTAAATAAAACGTTTCACCCCGCTGCACAGCTATTTCTAGTAGGGCTATTTCTTCTATGAGTAGCAGTTCTTTTCTCATATTTCTAGTGTTCCAGGATTCTACCCCTGTGCTCTACATGCGGCCTAAGACCTTGTTCAATGCACACACAGAGAAACCCATTATCATATATATACATACACACACACACTCTACTCCCTTACCTGCTGCTGCGGGCACTCCCATATATACAGACATACACACTCCTTGGATGCTTAAGGCCCTATTTGGTTTAGGTAATGAGTAGTTCTTTTTTCTCCCCTACCTAATAATAAACAAGACCTATTTGCAATACCTCTCAAATCCTCAAAATACTGCTTTCTCCTTTCCCTTGCTCCCAATAGAGGACCTGCAGGTAATAGGATTCAGTTTTATCTCCATAGCGACTCTGGCTCCCAGCACTATTTATAGCAGAGCCACAGCCCCTCCCCTGCTTGGTGACCGCACAGTACTAGCAGCTGCTACTCCAGAGTCGGCCAAGGCCCATAACAATTCACTCCCCTTGAACCTAGAGACACTTCTCCCACTGACAGTACCTGCTAAGAATTAGGTTATCTTCTCCCTCCTCTGTCTGTAGTTTGTACTCCGTCCTAATTCTGACTTTTGATACTGATATCTCTACACCACCAGGTTTCCGAGTACGCCGTATATTCATTTCTAGGTATCACCACTGCTTAACAAACCCAAACGGTCCCTTTGGTTCTCCCAATTGCAACAGAGTCATGAGCAAACTACAGGAGGTGGGGCACCGTAACAGAGCTGCACTCAGCTCCTCCTGAGCAGAATGCAAGGGGGAGAGAAACAGAGAAATGAAATGGGATATGAGTAAAAAGCATGATTTGTTCTAACAAAGAATTATGTAGTTAATCTGTCATGGGATTCGAAAAAAAAAGAACTGTGTAGAAATGACTACAGCGAAAGCCAAAGTATCTCAAAGTAAAACAAAATTTACAGAACCAGAGCTCTAGGCTACACCTTGCAATCTATGTTTATATTGAAAACCAGGAGTCCTCTCCAGTCAAAATCTCAAAGATCAGGCCTGAAGCACCTCCTACTGAGTACGCATCAGGCCCCTCTAGCCTTGGAGGGATCTCAGTCCCTATCCACTGAGAACTATCTGATGAAACTCAAGTCACTCACAATCATTTCCTTCCAGAGCCACAAGGACCCTGAGATCTTGTTATTATTCTAGCTATGGGTAGGATACGATTTTTAGCCAGAATTCATCTAATCAGCAGCCACTGCCTTCAGTTATTCAGACTGCAGAGATAACTAAGATTTTTCTTCTCATTCTCTCCTCTCTCCCCTCCCCACAAAGATTAACATCTTTAACTCCTCTAAAGACTAAACCTTCTAACATCACCCACCACTCACACTCTGTCTTCACAACCAACGAGGCTCCGACTCTTGCCTGTAGCCTCAACCATATTTACTAACATAGAGCCTCTGGTTCCTGTCTTCATGTATTCCAAAAGCATCAAGCTCAAAATGCACATCTATCTGCTGAAGTCCAACATCACCATCAGCTCCACCCAGAGGTAGAATTAGGATTCACAAACTTCTAAGTTATCTATGTCTTTTCAGCAGAAATGGCCATGCTAACCAACCCTTTGGATTCGTCCCTCATTTTGCACAGGATCTCACAGTAAAACCACAGGAACCAGAGAGCAATATGACATCTCTGCTGACGTGAGCACAACAGGAGGCTCTCCTCCCCTCCTCTACCTCCCCAGGCAGTGACCTTGCAAGCTCATCAGCACGGACTGGTCCAGCGTGCGGAAGAACTGGAGCAAGGAGGCTGGCAGCTGGCAGGGTTGGGGTAGAGGGAAGGGCAGGGAAAGGTGGAAGAAGGTAGATACACGAGGATAGGGAGGAGAGTGACTGCAGAAAGATGAAATAGCGTTCTCACTCTCCAGCAAGTCAATTTTGAAACATCAAATTAAAAAAAACAAAAAAAAAAATTATTGAGAACCAAACGTGGTTCTCCAAATTTCAGCCAAAAATAAGGCGCATGCACGCACACGCACAAGCACACCCGCCAAGCACTGTGCGGGCTCCGGCCCCAAGGCTGCCCAGCTCTGCCCGCCCCCTCACCTGCTGGACAGTTCTCCTCCGCCCCCGCCCCCGCCCCCACCCCGAACCCGAACCCGAACCCGAACCCGAACCCGAACCCGCGCCGCCCGCCCTGCAGGAACCAAACCCAGTAGCCCGAGCCCCCTCCTCGGCCCGCGGCGCCCCCATCCCCGGCCCCGCCCCACGCCCTTTCACACTCCTCCAGAGCCTCCTCAGAGACCCCTTCCTCCAAGAGCCACGGTGTCCTCTCAGAGCCCGTCTCCCACTCGGAGTCCCCAGACGCTCGCCCAAAACCCCCACCGGCCCAGACTCTCCTACCTCCCAAGCTCTGGGGGACTGGCCAGGCCCGGACCGACGTACCCGGCAGCGGGGCGTCAGTCGCTCCCCAGCGCGGCGCCGCTCCGAACGGGCCCCAGTTCCGCGTCTGCACTGGGGGGCGCGCACCACTCGCGCGGGGTGCGGAGGGGGAGGCCGGGGCCGGGGCCGTACCATTCAGCCCGGGGGGCCGGGGCTGCGCCGAGCCAAGCGCCGCGGGGCGGGGCCGACCTCCGGAGACAGCGGCTGCGCACACACCTAGTCTAGCGCCCATGGGCACGGGAGGACGCGCCAGGCCGACCCAGCGCCGTCGCGTGCAAAGGGGAGGACACACGGCAGTACCTTCTGTTTGGGTCGCTCAGAGAGACTTTAACCCGACGGGGTCATAGCGCCCATTTCGACGACATGTGGATTCCTCTGAAAGTCACTTCCCAAGATAATCGGCCTCTGAGACTTCCTGACGGGCTCCCCATCCCCCTGCTCCCACACCTCACTCGCTTTGGCGGTGCTCGGAGCCCTAGCCGGCTGTCGCGCGGTGGAGCCTACCAATCCTGGGCAGCGGGGGCGCAGGGGGGCGCGCGGCCGCAGTTACCTCCTCCGGGCGCGCGCGGGGAGGGGGGCGTGGCAGCGCCGCGGCGCCCGCTGGGAGATGGAGTCCCGTGCGTCCGCGAGGCCAGCCCCGCCGCAGGACAGCCTCCTCGCGGCCACACGACTCTTCTCTTCCTGTCCCAAAGGACCTGGGGGCCGAAACTGGGTTCTGGGTCTTTCAGGTTGTGCCTTTTTCAGATGCCAAAGGAAAAACTACGGCATGCTAGACACGCACGTGAGGTGCACCGCCGAGGCCTTAGCGCTGAAATCCAACACTTCCTCCTCCCCCGCAGAAAGGCAACCGGATCCTACCTGGATCCCAGCAGGGGAAGGGGGCGCCTAAGCCTCAGCATTCCATTTATTCATATGGCGCAGTGGGGGTTAGTAAGAAGAGGCCCCCTCTCACGGCCAAGCCTGTCACTTGTGACCCTCCCTCCTCTGAGCCTGGAGGCGGATCCTAAAGATCGCAGGCTTCCTCCTCTACTACCGTGTCCCCACCCCCAATACAGACATTGGTTTCTCTCATTTTGTATTCATTTTGATCTTCCTGTTCAAACAGTACCAGACCTATCAGTGAGGCGGCGCTGAGACATTTATGGCCATACCACAGAGTGACAGTGGAGAATTTTTCTTGGGGCCCTGTGGGAAAAACAGGAAGTGGTGGAGGCAGGATGGGCAGGGCGCTGGAGAACCTTGTGCAAAGTGGCCCCCAGGCCCATCCGTTTGTGGGATCAGTGTGGTCTTCAGATACAGCACAGCGTTAGAGGGCGCCCCACTGCTCAGTAGCCACAAAACTCCCAACTCTTTGACTCTCTTTTAATGCCACGGGTGGATCTCCTTGCCCAGCTCCCAGGAATGTTTGCCCTTCTCAGTCTGTTCCACTTCTAGGAGGCAGCCACCAGGCCTCAGCCATCCGGCACAGAAAACAAAATATGAGGAAAGAACAGTCATTCGTGCACATCCCAGATCTCAGAGAGCAGCGGTGGGAGCTTTTTGTCCTGCAGACGCAGTGCAAACACTTGCTCTGAGTGGACGCTGCTCAGGGTCCGGAGGCTCACCAGTTTCATTAGCATCCGTGGGAACATCAGTCGGTCCTGGGGAAAGGAGAGAGACAAGAACAGCTTTTGCCTGTCTGCAGGGAAGCGGGGCAAGGGTAGGGGAGTTGTGGGAGAGGTGAGTTGTCTGCACACCATGCAGTCAGAGAGAAATTCTTGAAGGGAAAGTAGGTGTATCAGGGAATGGGCCTGTGTGTGGGAAGGAGGAAAAGGGGCACCATGGGGAGACTCACATGGGGATGGTGGATGGAGACGTAGGCATGCAGGGCTTCCACATATGTGTGCTGCAGCCTCTCTACCTGGAGCTGGTCCTGCACATTGGGCCGGTCTATAGGTCACCAAGAGAGTTGAGAAGCAGGTCTGGCCAGGGTCCAGTTCCATACCCCAAGTTGCAACCAAAATATAGAGACATGCTCCAGCCAAGCTCTCTCATCCCTAAATAACAGAGCAAATGCCTCCACCCTCCCAAGCCCCCCCCCCCCCCCCGATTCCTGTGGGGCCTGCAGCCCTCCTCGGTGCAAGTCTCTTGCTGTTTCCCATTGCCCCTCCTCCACACCTGCAGAGAAGATGCTGATGGCAATGAGCAAAGCAAACTCAGCATCATTAAGTTGCAGCTCATTCATGGCCCTGGAGAACTCGAAGATGGGGTTGATGAATTCCACTTGCAGCCCTGGGGAGGAAGAAGGGAGGCTGACACATGCAGCAGGAGCAGCAGGAACTTCCTTCTCTCCTCCAGCGCCTTACCTTAGAGAACTACTAGGAACTCACTAAGAAGTTTACCGGGGCTGGGCACGGTGGCTCACGCCTGTAATCCCAACACTTTGGGAGGCTGAGGCGGGCGGATCACCCGAGGTCAGGAGTTCGAGAAGAGCCTGGCCAACATGGCGAAACCCCATCTCTACTAAAAACACAAAAACTAGCTGGACGTGGTGGCAGGTGCCTGTAATCCCAGCTACTTGGGAGGCTGAGGCAGGAGAATCACTTGAATCTGCGAGGTGGAGGTTGCAGTAAGCCGAGATCGCACTACTGCACTCCAGCCTGGGTGACAGAGGGAGACTCCATTAAAAAAAAAAAAAGGCTACAGGGCTTTGCTGTGTAACCTTGAGCAAATGTCTTAACCCCTCTAAGCCTCATCTGTGAAATGAGAATCATATCTAAACCTATCTCAGAAAATTGTTGGGATGGGGCCGGGCGCGGTGGCTCAAGCCTGTAATCCCAGCACTTTGGGAGGCCGAGACGGGCGGATCACGAGGTCAGGAGATCGAGACCATCCTGGCTAACACGGTGAAACCCCGTCTCTACTAAAAAATACAAAAAACTAGCCAGGCGAGGTGGCGGGCGCCTGTAGTCCCAGCTACTCGGGAGGCTGAGGCAGGAGAATGGCGCAAACCCGGGAGGCGGAGCTTGCAGTGAGCCGAGATCTGGCCACTGCACTCCAGCCTGGGTGGCAGAGCGAGACTCTGTCTCAAAAAAAAAAAAAAAAAAAAAAAAGAAAATTGTTGGGATGGTTCAGTGACAAAGTATGCAGAGCACTTAGTGCTGTGTCTGGCACACAAGAGGTGCTGAATTACATGATAATAATTCTGGTATTCTTGTTTTTTTTTTCTTTGAGACAGGGTCTTGTTTGGTCACCCAGACTGGAGTGCAGTGGCACGATCACAGCTCACTGCAGCCTCGACCTCCCAGGTGCAAGCAATCCTCCCACTTCAGCCTCCCTAGTAGCTGGGACTACCGGTGCATACCACCACACCTAGCTAATTCTTATTTTTTTGTTGTGTCAGGATTTCACCATGTTGCCCAGGCCGGTCTCAAACTCCTGGACTCAAAGCAATCCACCCACCTCGCCCTCCCAAAGTGCTGGGATTACAGGTATCAGACACCACTCCCTGCCAATTCTGTTATTAAAATTCTTGAGGGCTCCACATTTCTAGAAATAGAAGCAACTCTTATTTTTGTTTATAAAGAATCCTTTTTCAGCAGGGCATGGTGGTTCACGCCTTTTATCCCAGCACTTTGGGAGGCCGAGGCAGATGGATCACCTGAGGTCAGGAGTTTGAGATCAGCCCGGCTGACATGGCAAAACCCCATCTCTACTGAAAATACAAAAATTAGCTGGGCATGGTGGTGCACGCCTGTATTTCCAGCTACTTAGGAGGCTGAGGCAGGAGAATTGCTTGAACCTGGGAGGCGGAGCTTGCAGTGAGCCGAGATCGTGCTACTTGCACTCCAGCCTGGGCAACAGAAGACTCTGGCTCAAAAAAAATAAAAAAATAAAAGAATCCTTTTTCAGCAGGGCACAGTGGCTCACACCTGTAATCCCAGCTACTCAAGGAGGATCACTTGAGCCCAGAAGGTCAAGGCTGCATTGAGCCATGATTGATCACACCACTGCATTCAGCCTGGGCGACAGAGTGAGACCCTGTTTTAAAGGAAAAAAAAGCATTCTTTTTCACTGGCATTGGCCTTACTTATTTGAACACTAGAGATACATTTCATGTATCACATCCTAGAGGGAATATTGCAGTATGGGTGAGGATGTGGATTCTGGTGCCAGACTGCCTGGGGTTGAGTCCTGGTTCTACCACTTATAAGGCAATGTGACCTTGTGTAAGTTATGTAACCTCTCTGGGCTTTGGTTTTCCCATCTGTAAAATGGGAATAATAATAGTACCTATCTCATAAATATGTGGCATATATGGTAACTACCACATAAGTGCTTGTAAAATAAATATATATATATATTTTTTTTTTCTTTTCTTTTTTTTTGAGATGGAGTCTTACTCTGTCACCAGGCTGGAGTGCAGTAGCATAATCTCAGCTCACTGTAAGCTCTGCCTCCCGGGTTCAAGCGATTCTCCTGACTCAGCCTCTTGAGTAGCTGGGAATACAGGTGCACATCACCACGCCCAGCTAATTTTTGTATTTTTAGTAGAGACAGGGTTTCATCATGTTGGCCAGGATGGTCTCGATCTCTTGACCTCGTGATCTGCCTGCCTGGGCCTCCCAAAGTACTGGGATTACAGGCATAAACCACCACGCCCGGCCAATAAATAATCAGTTTTTCATGGAAACAGTCTTCCTGCTGAGAAGACTAAAATGCAACAAACCATGAGTTAAAGTCATGATACCTAGAGAATATGTCTCTCATACACATTGTCAAAGTCTCTGCACCCTACACAGTTCCTCAGGCTTTGTCAGATTTCTTTTAGCAACCATCTGCTACACTTTTCCATTCAAGGCTTCTTGGTGAGTCACTTCCTGTACTTTCACCCTGATGTTTATCAAGTGTTGTGTGTTAGTCCATTTAATGGGCAGGCCCCATTTTCTTTTTCTTTTTTCTTTTCTTTGAGACAGAGTCTTGCTCTGTCACCCAGGCTGGAGTTCAGTGGCACGATCTCGGCTCACTGCAACCTCAGCCTCCTGGGTTCAAGCGATTCTCCTGCCTCAGCCTCCTGGGTAACTGGGACGGGTGCACCACCACGCCTAGCTAATTTTTGTATTTTCAGTAGAGATGGGATTTCGCCATGTGAGCCAGGCTGGTCTCGAACTCCTGACCTCAGGTGATCCGCCTGCCTAGACCTCCCAAAGTGCTGGGATTTCAGGTGTGAGCCACCACACCCAGCTGCAAGCCCCATTTTCTAAAGCATTTCTTGGTGAGGTTTTGAGCCCCAAAGTATGGCAAACAGCCCCCTTTATACACAAATTAAGAGGAGGTTCTATAGTTGGCTAATGCACCTGTGAGGGTCTGCTGATGCCCATGGAATGAACACCTCAAATGTGCTCAGTCCGTGTCACCAGTCATCTACTGCATGCAGTAAATAGTAGTGGATAGAGAGAGGAGGAGACGTGACAAACAGAGCTCCAGTTCCTTCTCCCCAAGACCTCACTCACGAAATGAAAAATGAAAGGCAAGCATGATTACTTCAAAACTGCTTGTATAAATAAATCTATAAGGGCTGGGCGCGGTGGCTCACACCTGTAATCCCAGCACTTTGGGAGGCCGAGGCGAGCGGATCACCTGAGGTCGGGAGTTTGAGACCAGCGTGACCAACATGGAGAAACCTCATCTCTACTAAAAATACAGAATTAGCCAGGTGTGGTGGCACATGCCTGTAATCCCAGCTACTCGGGGGGCTAAGGCAGGAGAATCGCTTGAACCTGGGAGGCAGAGGTTGCAGTGAGCCGAGATTGTGCCATTGTACTCCAGCCTGGGCAACAAGAGTGAAACTCCGTCTCAAAAAAAATAAATAAAATAAAATGACTAAACAAATAAATCTACAAATAGGTGCAGATTCAGATAGCACGAGTCTACGAGTGCCAAACTAATATAGAGATCTTACAACTGGGCAGGGGGCCGGGTGCGGTGGCTCAAGCCTGTAATCCCAGCACTTTGGGAGGCCGGGACGGGCGGATCACGAGGTCAGGAGATCGAGACCATCCTGGCTAACATGGTGAAACCCCGTCTCTACTAAAAATACAAAAAAATTAGCCGGGCGCGGTGGCGGGCGCCTGTAGTCCCAGCTACTCGGGAGCCTGAGGCAGGAGAATCGCGTGAACCCGGGAGGCAGAGCTTGCAGTGAGCCGAGATCCAGCCACTGCACTCCAGCCTGGGTGACAGAGCAAGACTCCGTCTCAAAAAAAAAAAAAAAAAAAAGAACTGGGCAGGGTTCCACAAGGAAGATATTCTGAAGGAGGGGAGACCCATGGTTAAGAAGGTCTGAGTTAATAACCATCGAGGAAAAAATGGTTTGGAAGAGGGGGCAGGGCTGGGCTTTAAAGCTGGATAAAGTCATTAAATCACCCCATTAGGTGCCAACACATCCGGGCAGCACACCGGGCACTATAGAAGGCAAAAGGTGCCAACATAGCCCTATTATGCCCTACAGTGAAGGGTGGCCTTCCTAGAAAGCTCATTGGGTGGGCCTGTGTTGGGAGAGCAAGAGGCACGTGAGCTGACCTGAGTTGTCAGAAACCAGGGAAGGCTTGATGACTGGCCTGGCCACAGATCTACCAGCCCTGAGAATGGAGTCAGGGCATCAGCCATATTTTAGAGCCCCACTCATCCAGTTGTTAAGCTACTTGGTTTCCTGCTGAAGCTCAATTCCACTCCCTCCAAAAGTCCCTCAGCCTCCCGTCCTTTCCCAGGCCAGTTTTCATGACACAAACATGACCAATAGTTGAATATGAAGAACCCCCTTCTGCGTAGCTCCCAAGCGAGAATCAGCTAGAGAGCCGCAGTATGAAGTAATTTTTGGAGAAAATACTCCAGATAATAGGATGGGGATGGAAACATTCGCTCTTATTGTACATCCCCTCTGGGCATGTTTGCCATGCCATGGTTCCAGTTCATCAGAAAGTGTAATTGAAAAAGAGTAGGGGAGGGGCCTGGTGTGGTGGCTCATGGCTGTAATCCCAGGACTTTGGGAGGCCGAAGCGGGTGGACTGCCTGAGCTCAGGAGTTCAAGACCAGTCTGGGCAACACAGTGAAACCCTGTCTCTACTAAAAATACAAAAGTTAGCTGAGCGTAGGGGCGCACGCCTGTAGTTCCAGCTACTCGGGAGGCTGAGGCGGGGGAATCGCTTGAACCCGGGAGGTGGAAGTTGCAGTGAGCCAAGATCGTGCCACTGCACTCCAGCTTGGCAACAGAGTGAGACTCCATCCCAAAAAAAAAAAAAAAAAGAGTAGGGGAAATCAGCCCCCATGATCCCCAAAGAGCACATGTGAGGAAGATTAGTTCACTTCCTGTGCCTCCCTGTTTCTCCTCCAAGGTGCCATTCCATATATCTCTCAGGTTCCTTGGAATACATTTTGAAAACCACTGACCTAAAGCAACAGAGGACAGGGGTCTATCTGGAGCAGCTGAGAGAAGCCTATCAGCATTCCAATTTTCCATCTTCAAAAAATAAGGGGAGCCTTCCCTTACCAGTCACTCAAACGTTGGGCCTGTGGCTCTGTAGTCACTATGGGCCTATGACAAAAAGAACCAGTCCTGGCCAGGTTCAGTTGCTCACACCTGTAATCCCAGCATTTTGGGAGGCTGAGGTGTGTGGATCACTTAAGGTCAGGAGTTCAAGACCAGTCTGGTCAACATGGTAAAACCCTGTCTCTACTAAAAATACAAAAATTATCTGGGTGTGGTGGTGCACCTCATCCCAGCTACTCAAGAAGCTGAGGTAGGAGAATTGCTTGAAGGCAGGAGAATTGCTTGAACCCGGGAGGCAGAAGTTGTAGTGAGCCAAGATCACGCCACTGCACTCCTGCTTGGGCGACAGAGCAAACTCTGTCTTAAAAAAAAAAAAAAAAAACAAAAAAAGAAACAGTCCTTGGCCAGGCATGGTGGGTGGCTCACGCCTGTAATCCCAGCACTTCGGGAGTCCAAGGCAGGCGGATCACTTGAGGCCAGGAGTTTGGGACCAGCCTGGGCAACATAGTGAGACTCCATCTCAATTTTTTTTGTTGTTGCCCAGGCTGTAGTGCAATGGTGTGATCTCAGCTCACTGTAACCTCCGCCTCCCGGATTCAAGCGATTCTCCTGCCTCAGCCTTCCGAGTAGCTGGGACTACAGGCGCGTGCCACCATGCCTGACTAATTTTTTGTATTTTTAGTAGAGACAGGGTTTCACCGTGTTAGCCAGGATGGTCTTTATCTGCTGACCCTGTGATCTGCCCACCTCGGCCTCCCAAAGTGCTGGGATTACAGGCATGAGCCACCGCGCCTGGCCCTCAATTTTTAAAAATAAAAAATAAAAAAAGAAGCATTTGTCCATCCAGCCCCAATCCCTGTGTGATCTCAGTTCTCACCTGCTTTGGCAAAGTCTTCCCGGTTATAACTGAAATCCTTGAGGAAGGTGATACTCTCACTCCCAGGGTTGTACCTCCGAGATGTCTCCAGAAGCATCACCTGCACACAAGCAGCAGACCTCAAACGGGGACTAGGAAGGTTGGTCTTGGAGCATAGCCCCTTCCAGGGAGGCTGATTCCCCTCATCCCTGCTTCCCAGCAGATTTGGTTCTCCCAGCTCGATGTCTGGAGGCCCCTCCCACAGACAATCCCATTCTGCTTCTCCCTTCATCCCTTGCCCTTCTCCAGCCACCTCGATCGCAGAGGTCTTCAGCAGGGCAATCTGGTCCTCCCGGCTGAGCTGCAGGAAGCCGGGTAGCTGTTTAGCAAAGTCAACTATCTCCTGCACAGAGACGATGGCCAGCTCAGTGAAGTGGGCAAAGCGCTGCTGACGGGCCTCCCGGCTATGGGGATCTGGTGCCATGGGCCAAGGCTACCCAGGAGGGAAAAGGCAAAGCGCTTTGAGTCGGACATCAAGAAGCCCACTGGTGATCTGGGTGCAGCCGCCTCTCCCCAGGTGTGTCAAGTACCGTGACTCGAAGCCGGTCAGAAAAGGAGCGCCGGTTACACTGTTGCTGGGCAGCGACCAGCTTCTCAATCATGCCCAATTGCTCTGGGCTGAGCTGGGGCAGGATTTGAGGGGGTGAGGAAGCCCTGGGGGGCAGGGATACGGCATGAGCCTGTTCCTCCTCTTGCCGCTTCAGTTTCTTCAGACGGATCTGTTCTTCTGACAGGACACCTAAGGACAGGACCAAATATGAGGAGACAGGAAGCAAGGATGGGGCAAAAGGGGCGGTTTGGGGCTCCAGAAAAACAGACAGCACTGGGTAAACGCAAGAAGTTTTTTTTTTTTTTTTAAACAGAGTCTCACACTCGTCCAGTCTGGAGTGCAGTGGTGCGATCGCAGCTCACCACAACGTCCGCCTCCCGGGTTCAAGTGATTCTCCTGCCTCACCCTCCTGAGTAGCTGGGATTACAGGCGCTCACCACCACACCCGGCTAATTTTTGTATTTTTAGTAGAGACAGGGTTTCACTACGTTGGCCAGGCAGGTGTCAGACTTCTGACCTCAGGTGATCCGCCTGCTTCAGCCTCCCAAAGTGCTGGGATTACAGGCATGAGCCACTGCGCCCGGTCAAGAAATATATTTTAATCCATACTTAGGGATCAGTTGGCCCCTACAAGTTCAGGCACCTGTCCTGGGTCACACCCTGGCCCCCTCTTTTCCCCTCAGCCTCTTCCCCGCCCAGCCCCAGAAACTCACACTCCTCCCGCATGCCAGCCTGGCGGCACTTGCGAAGCCGACACTCCTGGCACTTGCGACGCATGTAGGTGTCCATGGGGCAGTGGCCGCCACTGTGGCAGACGTAGCGCGCTCCCTTGATGACACTGCGGCGGAAGAATCCCTTGCAACCCTCGCAGCTCAGAACATTGTAGTGGAAGCCGGAGGCCTTGTCCCCACAAACGCTGCATAGCTCATTCCCCAGCATTTTGGGGGCTGGCCCCTTTTTCCGCTTTTGTGGACGGATCTCTGGTTACAGGAAAGTGTTTCAATGCTCTCCCCCAAGGAAAAAGGTTCACGTTCTCCCTGACTCAGTCACTGCCCTGGGCACTCAGTGACCTTCATTCCCTTCATTATACAAACTCCAGTCTCTCTTTTATGAGAAGAGTAGCCCTCATTGGCCAAGTGCCATTATGTTCTAGGTACTGTATGAGCTTTTTATATGCACTGATCCTTATGACAAACATAATTTTTTTCCATTTTATAAACAAGGAAATTGAGGCTCAGGAAGGCCTAAAGTAGAGACAGAATTCACACTTAGATCAGTCAGATTTAGTTAGCTCTAAAGCCTTTGGACTTAACCGTGAGATTACATATAAAGTAAAAACCCCCAAGGAACCTCTTCCAGATCCAGGACCTGGAATCTGGACCCCTACCTCCTCCAAACCCAGAAGCTCCTCACCTGTGGGTTCTGAAGGGGGCTCTGCCCTGGTGAGCAGGACTGTGGGCTCTGCAGCCTCCAGCCCCACCCCTGCAGTGCCTGTGGCAGAGTGGGGCATCCTGGCTTCCTCTCTGAGGATGCGGCTGTTGCCTCCCTGGGTCTGGCTGCTTGCATCCTGTGCACCTGGCTTCCACAGCTCTGCTGCAGAGTCTGAGCTCCAAAGGAGAGGCACATGGGGGTCTCAGGCTCCATCCCCGCTCCATAGCCCAGTGTCCTAGCTGGGAAACTGAAAACTTATCCCCGCCCTTAGAGGGCAGCAAAGTCCCAGCTCAGGCTTTGGGACCCTAGCGTCTGTGTGGGCTCTAGCTAGGACTAGTCACTTGTAGTTTCTTACATCTCAAGACCTTAAATGAAGATGTTAACCCTCGTCTCTTTGCGGGGGCTGGAGTGTATGCATTTCAGAGATCAGATAAAACTCTTCAAAGCCAGAGCAGGGTAAGCACTCAGCTGACCAACTCTTTAGCAGCAAACCCAGATTGGGGAGGACTGGGCAGGAGCCTGCAAGGGCCAGGCACTGGAATCGGGGGAGAGGCAACCACGACTAAGAATGAATCTGGACTGCTCTCTGGAGGAAGGAAGAAGGCAGGTAATGAAGCAGACTGATTCCTACGGGGAGGCGAGGAGCCTGCGGTCTGGGCTCAGGGGAGAGGGCTGGAATGAAGCTTACCAGGAGGAATGTCAGGCACAGGGGCCCCCAGCCACACGGACATCTCTTCCTGGAGCCCTGGTCATTACCAAGGCACTGTCCTGCAGGAAGGACTCAGGTTATACTCTTCTAGAACTGGCCTTCTTTCTGGCCTCAGCTCCCTTCTCCACCTGATCCTCCCTTTTATCAATACCAACAATATCAGCTAATATTTACTTGCCATATATTAGCCTGTACTAAGGCTTTATTATATTACTATTATGTTTTTTAGAGACAGGTTCTCCCTATGTTGCACAGGCTAGTCTAGGAACTCCTAGGCTCAAGGGATCCTCCCACCTGGGCCTCCCAAAGTGCGGGGATTATTGGAGTGAGCCACTGCGCCCAGCCTATTATAAGGCTTTATGTGCTTTCCTCATAATATCCCTCTGAGGTCAAGACTAGTCTTTTTTTTTTTTTTTTTTTTTTTTTTTTTGAGATAGGGTCTCTTTATGTTGCTCAGGCTGGAACTCAGTGCTATTCACAGGTGCAATAATGGGACACTATCGCCTCAAACTACTGGGCTCAGGCAATCAACTTTCAGCTTCCTGAGTACCTGAGATTATAGGCGCATGCTACTGCTCCCGGCTCAGGACTATTCTTAACCTCATTTTACAGATAAGCAAACTGAGGTTCAAAGAGATTAAGTAACTATGGTCACACAGTTAGGCGGCGGTAGAATCAAGACTCAACCCTCGCCTGACTCCAAAGTCTGGGCTCCCAGTCACTGTACCAGCCTTTCTCCCCCAAAGTCACCTCCAAACCAGCGGGGAATGTTTGGGTACATCTGCCCTGCTTCTCTCGGGCCCCTTCCCCCTCCAACACTGAGGACAGCCAAAGTTGAGCAGGACCAGGAGATGGGATCGAAGCTCGCTCCACCCAGTGAAACACGCTGCTTATTAGAGAACCTTGCTCATGCCACTCTCCAGGGTCCCAGCACAAATCTCTTGTCTCCAAGAATCTCCCCAATTCACATAGAGGACCTCCTCCCCCGAATCCCTCATGAGTTATTCTGGGACCCAGAGTCCTGTTCCTTTCCCAAGCTTCCATCACCATCACCCCTCACTTCTTCCCAGAAACCCCCTTCTAAGATCCTTAGGACATTCGCCAACCCCACCCCAGATACACACACAGAGCCCCAGGCCACTGCTAAGGAGCAGACCCACCGAATCCCCAGGCCACCAGACTTCCTGGGTGGGCAGTCTCTGGAGCCCCCTTGCTGGGAGAAGAGGATGGTGCAGCTCCCTGTCCAGAGGTCTCGGTGGCCAGCCGGTGAGCTGGAGCTGAGCACAAGCAGGACCTGGAGCCCCAGGGAAGTAGCAATTTGGGGAAAGGCTAGGGGAGGGACTGCCGAGGGGTCAGGCCACCCCTCCTTCCTGCCTGACGACCGCAGCCCTCCCCTCCTCACCCCCGCCCACAGGGCAGTTTCTCCACCAGGCTGGCTCCTCCCCAGCCGGCCACCCCCTCTCCCGCCACTCCCACCCCCTACTCCTGGTCAAAACAGTGGCATTTCGCTGCAGACGTGCCAAGTTCCATGTCTCTCCCCTTCCTCTCCTTACCCAGCGCTCTTAGCAGCTCTTGCAAAAGGACTGCCTCCCAGGAACCCCTATCCCAATCCCAGCAGCCTCCAGAGTCGGTGTTCCCTCCCTTCCATAGGCACCTCTTGGAGCAAAGGTCCCAGCAGGGCCCGGAATTGCGACACTGAGCCCCAGCCTGCTTTCCCAGCCTCCCTCCTCCTCCCTTGCCTCTGGGAAGAGGCCAAGAAGCTCTCCCCACTAGCCCTAGGCTTCAGCCAAGCTGGTAGAAATCCAGGGGTGCAGAGAGGCAGGGGCTGGGCCTTACAGGGAGTTTCTGAAAGTGGGTGCCCTGCGGGGGCCACAGATAAGAGAGGAGGCCAGGAGAGCCTTTGGTAGGAAATCTGCTATGAGCAATGGCAGGCCTGGGATAGGGGTGGGGGGGTGGCAGAAGGCAGGCAGGCAACTCGGGTGGCAGCCCAGGATGGACCTGGGAAGCTATGAAGGTTGCCTCATCTGGGGAACAACCCTATCTGAAGTGATGGCAGGCTCCAATCAGCAGCTACTGAGACTATAGCCATTCTTCCCACTCTGTTGCCTGGGGCATGAAATCCATCCCGGAAAGTAGACATCATATTTTATTGATTTCATTTTCCCCAAAACCCCTGAAACAGGGCTGGCATAGAGGAGGCAACAGAGTAGGTACTGTGTTCCTATTTGTTGAATGAATAACAAGAAAAATATTATTCTCATCTATCCCCTACTTGTTAGCCCTAGTCAATTTTTTTTTATTATTCCTTTTTTTTTCTTTTTTGAGGTGGGGTCTCACTACGTTGCCCAGACTGGTTTCACACTCCTGGGCTCAAGCCATCCTCCCACCTCAGCCTTCCAAAGTGCTAGCATTACAGGCACGCACTCACAACTGCTGTAGTCAATTTCAACTCAGCATGTTGATTTAGTGTTCAGACTCTCGGCTCAGATTTTGGGTTCAAATCCTAAACTTCTTAGTACCTCTGTGATCTCGATTGAGCAAGTTACTTAATGTCTCTGAATCTTTGTTTCCCTATCTTTAAAATAGGAATATTCGAGCCAGCAATGGTATGTTGAAAAATAAATAGGCTGGACATGGTGGCTCATACCTGTAATCTCAGCACTTTGGGAGGCCTAGGCAGGTGGATCACTTGAGGTCAGGAGTTCGAGACTAGCCTGGCCAACATGGTGAAACCCCGTCTCTACTAAAAATACAAAAGTTAGCCAGGCATGGTGGTACGGATCTGTAATCCCAGCTACTCGGGAGGCTGAGGCAGGAGAATCACTTGAACCTGGGAGGTTGCAGTGAGCCAAGATTGTGCCACTGCACTCCAGCCTGGGCGATAGAGCGAGACTCTGTCTCAAAAAAAAAAAAAAGAAAAAGAAAGAAAAAAAGAAAGAAAACATAGGGATAGTAGTCATTTTTACCACACAAGGTTGTTGTGAGATTGAAACTACATATCACGCTGGGTGCAGTGGCTCATGCCTATAATCCCAGCAGTTTGGGAGGCCCAGACAGACGGATCACGTGAGGTCAGGAGTTCCAGACCAGCCTGGCCAACCTGGTGAAACCCCATCACTACTAAAAATACAAAAAATTAGCCAGGTGTGGTGGCACATGCCTATAATCCCAGCTGCTCGGGAGGCTGAGGCAGGAGAATGGCTCGAACCTGGGAGACGGAGGTTGCCATGACCCGAGATCACGTCATTGCCCTCCAGCCTGGGCAACAAGAGCAAAACTCCATAAAAAAAAAAAAAAAAAGAAGGAAGGAAGGATGGAGGGAAGGAAGGAAGGAAGGAGGGAGGGACTACAGATTGTATCACAACGTGTGGCACACAGTAAGTGTTCGAGAAATGGCACGAGTTGTCATCACCCTCCCAGTTCTTTCAGTTGTGGGTGTTCCCATCGCCTTAACTCAGTGGATTTTGAACTTTGTACTTGTTTCCATACACAGCACAAACCCTTCACTATCTTTTCTGGTCCTTAGAGCAGCCCTGGGAGGAAAGCAGAGTAAGTAACCTGAGCTCCATTTGACAGAGAACACTGAAACTCATGTGAGGGCCTTTTCCAAGACCACACAGTTAGTGGCCCGGCTGGGATCAGAACCCAGATGTCCTCACTCCAGTCCCTTTGCTGTGTCAGAGTCCAGGACAATCTTGTCTTGTTGCATCTCGGGCCAGTGAAGTGCTGGAATGGAAGCAGCCAGGGCTGGTGGGCTACAGGGGAGAGACTGAGAACCCTGCAGATGCTCCAGTCCAGATGTGGGAGGCGAGGAGCTGAGGTTACTGCTGGTCATTCACCCCCTGCCCCATTCCCAGTTTCCTGCTCACGGGCTCTTCCTGTTTTGCTATGAACTCCAGTTCCCATGGGCCCCACATTAAAGCACAGAAGGACGGGGGCCAGGGCAGGCAGCCAAAGAGACCAAAACAGATGAACAGGGCACCAGGGAAAAGAACAGAGGAAACAGGGAAAGAGTGGACGGGGGTGTGGATGGGACAGAAGGGACCAGATGAGGAAAAGTTGAAGGCTGAGGCAGAAGAGGAGCCTGGTTGAAAGACGGGAGGAAGCACAGGGTGGGACATGGGGAACAGGCGGGGGCTGGGAAGCAAAGTGTGAGAAGACAGCAGGCTGGGTGCTGTTGCAAAATCTGCCCATGTATTCATTTTCACATTTCAGAAAAGCCCCTGTGACACCCCCATCTCAGACTTCTGCCTGCAGCTCTTGCTCTTGTTCCCCCTCATCACAAGGTTGTCCCCTCCCAAGGCCCCCACCCTGGTCTGGGTATCTCTGAGTCACAAGCACAAGGCTCTTCATTCCTCTCGCATGGGTTCCCTCTCTGATTTTCACAAGGCCCCAGCTGTCCTGGAAAAGCAGAAACCAGGGACTCTAGTCACTGAGAGACTGGCGCTATTCTGTCCCAGCACCCACATCACCAGTCCAGCTCCCTCCTCTACCTCCCTGCTCCCAGAAGCTCCAGCCCAGCAGGGCAGTCAGAGATGTCTCTGAGATGCCTGGTTTCAAGAAACTCAGGAATCAATGGTCTGGGGCCTGGTACCCTATCTTCTGTGAGCTGGGAGAAGTCTCTTTCATCCACTTTGTTCTTCAACTCCTTCTCCTGACACCTAGTCTCCCCACAGGTGGCTTCCCAGGACCCAGGACCACACACAAGCCCCATCTGGATGGGGGGCACCAGGCTAGGGCCAACTGCTGAAAAAGTAGGTTGGGGACCAACTCCCCCACGCCAGGGAGTTGGCCTCAGCCTCATCTCCTGTTTAGAAGAAATTATAACCAGGACTTCAACTGCCAGAGCTGTCCTACCAGGTTACAGCTCAGAAACCCCAACCGTCATCCCTACAAAGAGGAAAACGGAGAGGAAAGTGGGAGAAGACCAAAACCTGTTGGCAGTATTTCCATGGAGTTTCTGGAGACCAACCACTGAGACTTGCTTCAAGCCAGGGCAAGCAGTGAAGTGATCAGCGGCCGGAATCACGTTCCCACTTTGCCAGCCCCACCCCTGTGCCACAGTCCCACCAGCTTGCAGTTGTTAGGTCCAAAGTCGCCAGTCCTATGGGCCTCTTCTATGTTTCCTTGGCTCCTGCAGGAGGCAATGCCCCTGGGAACACACTCGGGGATCTACCAAGTCACATATCTGGTCCTCCAGAACCTCCACAGGTTTCTTCTCACAGCAAGGAGAAACTTGAAGCAGAAACAGGAGCATTCACCAGCCACGGTCACAGGTACTACTGGCTAACTCCCCTGAAAAGTACTAATTCCAATGAAGCAGGCTGCAGGGTAAGGTCTGCAGGGATGGGCAAGGGCAACTGCTTCTTGTTCCCTCCTTCACCGTTCTGGAAGGGTGGAAAGTGTGGGGATCATCTTGCAGACCACTGCGTATCTAGTCAAGTGACTTCTGCCCAACCTTCCAATCACAACATAGAGAATAATCCAGAAACCTGGATTCCCAGACCTGAGTTCAGAGATGATACAGAAGGCAGAAAGGAAAGATGTAACATTGATTTCATGCCTACTACATACATTTATCTTTACATGCATTATTTCATTTATTCTCACAGTAAACTCTAGGAGATAGTTGCTAACAAGGGGCAAATATCAAATTTGAATACAGGGATAAGACTGGGTGCGGTGGCTCACACTTGTAATCCTAGCACTTTGGAAGGCCAAGAAGGGCAGATCGCTTGAGTCCAGGAGTTTGAGACTAGCCTAGGCAACATGGTGAAACCTCACCTTTACAGAAAAACACACACACACACACACAAATTAGCCAGGCGTGGTGGCATCTGCCTGTAGTCCCAGCTACTTGGGGGGCTGAGGTAGGAGGACTGTTGGAGCCCAGGAGATTGAGGCTGCAATGAGCCATGATTGTACCACTGCACTCCAGCCTGGGTGACAGAGGGAGACCGTCTCAAAAAAAAAAAAAAAAAAAAATACAAGTTTAGCTGATTCAAAAGTTTGAGCTCAAGCTTAAACAAACAAAAATCACAAACACACTCCATTATATAAAACTGGGCTGGGGCCAGGCGCGGTGGCTCACACCTGTAATCCCAGCAGTTTGGGAGGCCGAGGCGGGCAGATCACGAGGTCAGGAGATTGAGACCATCCTGGCTAACACGGTGAAACCCCGTCTCTACTAAAAATACAAAAAAATTAGCCAGGCGTGGTGGCGGGTGCCTGTAATCCCAGCTACTCGGGAGGCTGAGGCAGGAGAATCACTTGAATCTGGGAGGTGGAGGTTGCCATTGCACTCCAGCCTGGGCCACAAGAGCAAAACTCCGTCTCAAAACAAAAAAACAAACAACAAAAAACTGCCTCTTCAGATGGAAAAAAATGGCGAACATACCTGGATTTAGGTTTGCTTCTGCCAACACAGAATAAGGTAGTGGTTCCTGTCCTCACCTTCAGAGATTCTGATTTATTTGATCTGGTATAGGCCCACATATCCATCTATCTCACCATCTACATGTGTGTGGTATTTTTGTTTTTTGTTGTTGTTTTTTTTGCATCTATAGTTAGGAACCAAAGTGTAAGGACCACAGAATCATCTGGCAGAAAATGCAAAAGCTGGGGGCAAAGGAAGAAGAAACTAGGGCTCAGCTCCAGGCTCTACTGTCTACTTGTGCTGTAACCCCCATCCTTCCTGGAATAGTTTCTCCCTATAAAAACTGAAATAATATCTGCTTCATCAATCCCTCCCACATGGGATACTTGCACGCACAAAGAATACAGACATATTTGAGCAAGTGGGAAGAAAAGCAAAAGCTGAATTTGAGAGATTGCTGAAATTTGGTGAGCCAAAGATTTACACTCTGAAAGTACAATGGCTAGTTTGCAAGGAGAGTAAGAGGCCCATTAAAACAAAACACTCAACCCCTTTCCCCGCCACTAATATGCAGCATTCTGCCAATTACCCAAGCCCCCTTTATTTATTTTTTTTGAGACAGAGTCTCACTCTGTTGCCCAGGCTGGAGTGAAGTGGCACAATCTTGGCTCACTGCAGCCTCTGCCTCCTGGGTTCAAGCAATTCTCCTGTCTCAGCCTCCCGGGTAGCTGGGATTACAGGCGTGCTCCACCACGTCTGGCTAATTTTTGTATTTTTAGTAAGATGGGGTTTCACCATGGTGGCCAGGCTGGTCTCGAACTCCTGACCTCAGGTGATCTGCCTGCTTTGTCCTCCTAAAGTACTGAGATTACAGGTGCGAGCCGTGCCCGGCCTAGGCCCTGTTTAGTCCCACTAATGTGAAAAGGTTTCCTTTGACAGATACCTCTTTATTGAAAGTATTTCGAGATCACCAATTACAGTTTAGTAATGCAGTTTGAGTAGCCTGCGACAAGCAGCCCATTATAGACTATTTAACTGAGAACCACAAAACTAGACTTTTAATCCATTCTCCTCAACTGTGAGTTTGGGCCAGTCACTTCCTCTCTTTAGGTTTGTTTCCTAAACTGTGAAGTAAGACGACTAGGTTAAATCAGGTATTCAGAAATGCTGATTTATGAAACCTCTAGTAAATGGTCTTTGTGAACCATTTGGGATTATATGCAAAATTCCATGTGCGTGTTTACATATGTGAACATTTTTCTGGAGGAGAGGTGCAAAATTTTCATGTGATTCAAAAAGGGGCTTGTGATTAAACAAGAAGGTTAAGAACTATTTGGCTACCCAGGCTTCAGCTCATATTCTATTTGCTTCTCAGCCTCCTCCACAACAACTTTGGAAGCAAAGTTTAAATCCTGAAGTATATATAAATAATTGAATCTGGAGTCCTAGGGCAAAATAAGGACAGCTAATTCTGATCTTTTTTTTCTTTTCTTTTTGTTTTTTTGAGACACAGTCTTGCTCTGCCGTCCAGACTGGAATGCAGTCGCACCATGATGGCTCACTTTAGCCTCAACCTCCCAGGCTCAAGGTGATCCTCCCACCTCAGTCTCCTGAGGACCTAGGACCACAGGTGTGTGCCACCACACCCAGCTAATTTTTAAACTTTTTTTTTTTTCTGTAGAGATGAGCTCTTCGTAAGCTGCTCAGGCTGGTCTCGAACTCCTGGGCTCAAGCAATCTTCCCACCCTAGCCTCCCAAAGTGCTGGGATTACAAACGTGAGCAACCACACCAAGCCTAATCAGGTTTTTTTTTTTGTTGAGACAGAGTCTTGCTTTGTCGCACAGGCTGGAGTGCAGTGGCGTGATCTCGGCTCACTGCAACCTCCACCTTCCGAGTTTAAGCGATTCTCCTGCCTCAGCCTCCTGAGTAGCTGGGATTACAGGAGCACGCCACCACACCCAGCTATTTTTAAATTATTATTATTTTTAGTAGAGATGGGGTTTCGCCACGTTGGCCAGGCTGGTTTCGAATTCCTGACCTCGGTGATCTGCCTGCCTCGGCCTCTCAAAGTGCTGGGATTACAGGTGAACCACGGTGCCCAGCCCAAGCCTGATCAGTTTTGTTTCCCAAAGATCTGAGATTTGCTTCCAGTAGGCAGATCTGAATCAAAACATCCCCAGGACCTACAATCTGACCTTCTGCAACCGTCATATTAGTCACAAAGTCCTGAGGCCAAACTGGCTGCACCTGAATCCTAATGGTCAATGCCAAGAGGGCCACTGATTCTGTGTAAACCGCATGTACTCCCACTTTATGATATGCGCCTGCCCCTTACCTCAAAATACCTCCCCACTGGTCTGAAATTCCTCCCCTAGGGATTCAGTGCTTTGGGTTTGGAAAGTCTGAACATCCTGTGCAACACAACTCCTTTGGGAAGAGGCATGACGTCTTGACTCTAATTAACTAAAACTTGGAAGTGGAGGGGAGGGAGGTCACGGAAAGGACTGGAAGGGAAAGTGAAAGGGCTACTGAAGCTTCGTGCGGGGCAGGAACGGTAGGCTAGACTGGAGGCAACCTCAAGGACACAGGAAATCCAAAGGGTTGTTTATATACTATGCCCTGCACCCCAAGCAAAACGTCTCCTAGAAAACAGGGCCAGGGCTCAATCCACCCCAAAGGCAGGGGCATGGAGAGAAGCGACCTCTGCTTTTCCGTCCCTCGCCTCAACTCTGCACCCGCTCTAGCTATGGGGTCAAGCCCGGAAGCACCCTGGCTGGAGGGGACGCTCGCTTTCCAGGACATGGTCCCGCCCACTGCAAGCGCCACCTTGGTAAGGGATTTCTCCTAGCAGAGGCAAACGCGAACTTAATGCCTTCTTGATCAAGATGAGGTCTTCGAGACCTCTCTGCCTCGCCACGTCGGGCTACATGCCTACGCTCCTCCGCCACAGCCACGTCGCGACCCTCCGGCACGCATTCCCACCGAGACTGCGCCTTCTCCCCCAACCCCAGCTCGTCCCTAAGTAAGATGGCGGCGAGCGCACTTCCGGCGTGTGTCCTTACGAGTGCGTCCGGGCGGCTGCTTGCAGGTGCCACCCAGCGGGTTCCAGCTTCTTTGCTGCATAGATTACAACGGTGATGGCGGGCAAGCGGTCCGGCTGGAGCCGTGCGGCTCTCCTCCAGCTCCTTCTCGGCGCGAACCTGATGGTGATGCCGCCCACCCAGGCCCGGAGTCTGCGCTTCGTTACCTTGGTAATGAGAAATGGGGTCACCAAAGAGTTCCCTGAAGCTAGAAGGGCAAAGGCCAGCTGGTGGGGGTCGGGGATCTTGGGAAGGAACAGCTGGTTTAGGAGAGGACGACTGGCCTATGTAGTTGGGAGGCTGGGTTCAGGATTGACGTGGAGCCCTGGGTTATGGGGGTCAGGGTGACCGAATAGGTCGGGGTGAGTCTGCCCTGAGACAGGGAAGTAGTTGAATGGTTAAGACTCATCCCTAAAGAAGCCTTTGGTTGTCTTTTTTCCTCAGTTGTCCCCACCACATATGTTGCTTTCACTTCTCTTTTCCCTTACCACCTGTACCTTGGCTTTGCCTGTGGTCTCCAGTGGCATTGCTTAGCCAAGTTAGAGTGTCTGGAATCTGGAAGAAGTGACTGACTCCTAACTGGGGTCTTTTGCAGCGAGTAGGCTTCCCAAAGGGAATGAGACTTCCTTCCCTAACATGGGGCAAAAGGTAGGCTCTGGGTCCCTATCGAGATGCTTCTGACCTATAGACAAACCATTTTCTTCCCTCAGCTGTACCGCCATGGAGACCGTTCACCAGTGAAGACATATCCCAAGGACCCCTACCAGGAAGAAGAATGGCCCCAGGGGTTTGGCCAATTAACCAAGGTGGGTCAGAAGCCAGCCTTTCCTCAGGATGAGCTGTAGAATGAGTGATGTCTAGAGCAGGCTACAGAACTTGGGGCCTTACTAAACTGCCTTTTCCCATATGGGTGCTGACTTTGACCAGATTTCATAACCTTAACCTCTGTGCCCATGATATTGCCGTGCATGACTGGCCACTTAATGAAAGACTTCTGGGATCAGAGTAATTGACTCCAGCAAAGGGTAAACCTGGAAAGCAACAGGGCCTAAACCCCATGGGGCTTGTGAGCCACCCCTTCCCTCTAGACCCTCTTAACTTTTGGGTTTGCCCACAGGAGGGGATGCTACAGCACTGGGAGCTGGGCCAGGCCCTGCGGCAGCGCTATCATGGCTTCCTAAACACCTCTTATCACCGGCAAGAGGTAAGCTTGGGAGCTCCAGAGGCAAGGGGAATGGGGTATGCTGCCCTCATCTTTTGCTCTCAGGGAGCCTAAGGCTGAGGCTGGGCACTTTGGCCTCCTTCTTGTATTTTTGGTTACAACTACAGGAAAAGGCATCTGAGAGCTGTCTAGAACAAAATCCTAGGAGCTGAGTTGCCCCTGCTTGGCTAGGAAGAGGCAAACCTGATTAAGCATCCAAATTCAGCCTTACGGGCGGGCCTGGCAAAGTGTTTTCTGACTCTTTGAAATCACAGGCTTTCCATCCAAGACATTTATTGAGTACCCATTAAAGGCCAAGAACTATGCTAGCACTTCGCATTCAGTGGTGCACCATACAGATATGATCTCTGTCTTCATGGAGCTTAGAATGTTGTGGGGGTATCTGATGATAAACCAGACAGGGCCAAGATGAAAGACAGCGGGGAAGACGCACGTAGATAGGGCTTGTCTTTCCTTGATCAAGATGAGGTCTTCGAGCCCTGTCTGCCACACCAGGTCACGCTACGTTCCTAGGGCACATCAGGGAGGACTGGCGAGTGTGCCTGCTCCTTGAGTCCTTGCCCTACCCCAGGGATGGGGGAAGCTATTCCTCTGGTTACCACTGTCAGCCTCAGCTGTGTCAAGAGTCCCTAGATATTGTTAATTGTTCCCTTAAGGCCCAGCTCTGTCCTGAGCTTGTCCTTCCCCAGTTTCCTCCTCCCTTTTCATGAGCCACTATCTCTGAATAAGCTCTTCAAAATATTGTTTATTTATTTATTGATTTTGAGATGGAGTCTTGCTGTGTTGCCCAGGCTGGAGTGCAGTGACATGATCCTGGCTCACTGCAACCTCCGCCTCCTGGGTTCAAGCGATTCTCCTGTCTCAGCCTCCCGAGTAGCTGAGATTACAGGTGTATGCCACCATGCCTAGCTAATTTTTGTATTTTTAGTAGAGACAGGATTTAACCATGTTGGCCAGGCTGGTCTCGAACTCCTGACCTCAGCTGATCTGCCCGCCTCGGCCTCCTAAAGTGCTGGGATTACAGGCGTGAGCCACTGTGCCTGGCCCAAAATATATACATATATTTTAAAGGGGTCTCACTCTGTCACCCAAACTGTAGCACAGTGACTTAATCATAGCTCACTGCAGCCTCAAACTCCTAGGCTCAAGTGATCCTCCTGCCTCAGCCTCCCAGGTAGCTGGTGCCCGCCACACCTGGGTCATTTTTTATAGAGACAGGGTCTCACTATGTTGCCCAGGCTGGTCTCGAGCTCCTGGCCTGAAGCGATCCTCCTGCACTGGCCTCCCAAAGTGCTGGGTTTATAGGCGTGAGACACCAGGCCCAGACCTTTATCTTATTTTTTCTCCCTGGTCTCTAAGGGTCATCACTGGAGCCAGTTTCTGCCCCAAGGACCCTGATCTAGACAAGGAGAGAGGTGTTGTTATGAAACCAGACAGACCAGAGAGCCTTACTGATTGACTCAGCACTTTTGACTGGGAGAAAGGGGTATTCAATTAAGGCCATTCCCACAGGAGTTCTTCACAGAGTGGTGACAACCCCCAGTGGAGTGTTTGGGGGATGGGGAAGGCCAGAGGCCAGAGGGGGGTGAGGCCCAGATGCATGGTAGGTTTACAGTTTGCTGGGTGACCCTCAAGAACAGGTTCTCCCCCGGGGCTCCACTTTGGGGTGACCAGGACTTCCCACCACACACACACACACACACACACACACACACACACACAGGGCTCCACTTCAGGGTGACCACAACTTCCCCACCACACACACACGTGCGCAGGCGCACACACACACACACACACGACTCCAGGGTGACAAAAACTTCCCCACCACACGCGCGCGCACGCGCGCACACACACACACACACGTGACTTGTGTTGCTATCTCTGCAGGTTTATGTGCGAAGCACAGACTTTGACCGGACTCTCATGAGTGCTGAGGCCAACCTGGCTGGACTCTTCCCTCCCAACGGGGTGCAGCGCTTCAACCCGAACATCTCGTGGCAGCCTATCCCTGTGCACACTGTGCCCATCACGGAGGACAGGGTGAGAGTGGCCAGCCCTTCCCTGGGATGGTGAGGGGACAGCTGTGGCCGTGTGCCTGCTGATGCCAGGCTCCTTTTCCCACTGCCTGTTTCCCCGCTTCGCTCTACAGCTGCTGAAGTTCCCGTTGGGCCCGTGTCCCCGTTATGAGCAGCTGCAGAATGAGACCCGGAAGACACCAGAGTATCAGAACGAGAGTTCTCGGAATGCAGTGAGTAGGGGCAGAGGTGGAGGTCGCCACACTGTCTTTTCCCCACAAAAGCACTGAGATCCTGATCCATTTTTCATAGCAATTTCTGGACATGGTGGCCAACGAGACAGGGCTTACAGACCTGACACTGGAGACTGTCTGGAATGTCTATGACACACTCTTCTGTGAGGTGAGCCCACTAGAGTGCCCATTGTGATCACTCTTTTTCCCCTCAGCAGGCCCAGGTCACCAGGACGGTAGAACACAGTGCCTGATACCGTCACGCCCCTGGGGAGGTCCAGGGAGGTTGTGCTTGTGAAACACGGGAACTTCCCTCACGGGTGACAGAGATCCTCAGAGTGGGAAATGGTTTATTAATTGTCAGCAGTCCCTGCTGCTCTCCACCCAAAGCTCCTTTCTGCTGAGTCTCACTTTTTGTGCCTGAGCTTCCTTTCCTGTGCCCTGCAGCATCCACACCGTCTGCCATGTCTACTAGTTCCAGCCCCTCTGCCTCTGTCTCCTCTCCCTCCCTCACACACACAGGCACCTTCCCACTGGGGAAGAGAGCTGCCCCCTGGAGAGGCTGGCCTAGGCCTGGGGCGCTAACCTGCCCGCTGTGATATACAGCAAACGCACGGGCTGCACCTGCCGCCCTGGGCCTCACCCCAAACCATGCAGCGTCTCAGCCGGCTAAAGGACTTCAGCTTCCGCTTCCTCTTCGGAATCTACCAGCAGGCGGAGAAGGCCCGGCTTCAGGGGGGTGAGTGACAAAGACAGCATGTCACTCCACTCCTCAGGACCCTAAGGCGTTAAAAATCTGCTGTGGGGGCTTCTTACACACTTCCCTCTCTACTGAAACACTCCCTGCTCTTTCAGAACCAAATTCCCCTCCTCATGCCGCTAGTCACCAAATTTCCCCAGCTCTCTTCCTTTTCTGTCATCTATTCTTTTTAATAAGAAATTATTTATTTATTTATTTTTGGCGGGGGACGGGGAGTGTTCGCCGTTTTGTTTCACCCAGGGCTGAGTGGCAAATGGCTCGTCTTTCCTCATACAACCTCTGCGTCCTGGGTCCCAAGCGATTCTCCTACCTCAAGCATTTTGATGCAGGGACTAGGATCTGAAGGCAGGCAAGGGGGGGGGGGGGGGCCACTATGCCCTGGACATAAATATTTCTGTATTTTTAAGAATTGGGGTTTCACAATAGCGCCGGTAATTTTTGTATTTTTTAGTAGAAAATGGGTTTCCCCACACCATGGTTGGGCCAGGCTGGTCTCGAACTCCTGACCTCCAGGCTTGATCGCACCCACCTCGGGCCTCACCAAAGTGCTGGGAATTCAGGCATGAGCTGCCCGTAACCCAGCCTATTTATTTGAGATAAGAGTCTCGCTCCGTCACCATAGGGCTTTAGGTAGCAGTGGCAGCGATCTTGGGTCTCATTACAACCCTCCAGCTCCGCAGGTTCAAGTGATTCTCCATGCCTCAGGCCTCCTAAGTAGCTGGGACTAACAGGTGCCTGCCACCCACGCCCAGCTAACTTTTTGTGTTTTTAGTAGAGGACAGGGTTTCACTAATGTTGGCCAGGCTGGTCTCAAACTCCTGACCTCTGGTGATCTGCCCGGCCTCAGGCCTTCCAAAGTGCTGGGGATATCCACACCGTTGAGCGCACTACGCCCAGGCCCTGACATTCATCGTTCTTAATTCGCCGGCACATTACAGAAGACCCTCCCTCTCCTAAATGAATAGCTGCCCCAAGAGAACCAGTGGGGGCCATTTTGAGAAGGCTGAGAGTAATACACATGCCAGCTTCCTCATTTGAGCACCTAAAGGCTTGCCAGCTGTCACACCTTTTTGACATCTCAGTTTTCAGAGCATATGGTAGTTACCCGGGCACAGATCCACCCACTGTGTACTCTGAAGCAATCTTACGTTTACATTTGTTTCAAACTGAAGTGCTTCTGTAAACACAGGCAGGTTTCTACATCCGTGTTGAAATATAGGCAAATACCTTGTTTTGTCTTGCTTCCTTCTATACATTTGACAGTTCTTAGAGAGGAGGGGTGCCACAGAGTTCTTACACGGTCCCTATGACACTAAAGAGTTCTCCGTGTAGGGGATGAGGCCCAGGCCTGGCAGAGGGTGAAAGGAGCACAGATAGGTGGAATTAGAAGGCAGGGGTGGCTGTAGCCGGCAACACCGGGGACTTTTCTCCTTCAGGAGTCCTGCTGGCTCAGATAAGGAAGAACCTGACCCTAATGGCGACCACCTCCCAGCTCCCCAAGCTGCTGGTTTACTCCGCGGTGAGTGCCTGCGCTCCCTAGCGTGCTGTGTCAGGCAAGGAGCTGGATTTCTTCTCTGTTCAGTTCCTGCGGGTGTGGGGAACAATGCTGACGGGGAGCCCCTCTCCCCCGCAGCACGACACTACCCTGGTTGCCCTGCAAATGGCACTGGACGTCTACAATGGCGAACAAGCCCCCTACGCCTCCTGCCACATATTTGAACTGTACCAGGAAGATTCTGGGTGAGTGGAGCTAGCAGTGTCCTCTGGAGAGGGCCCTCAGGAGGTGGCTCGGGGCAGCCCAAGGACCCCATGACAGGCAGGCTGGGCAGCTCCCATGTTGCCTCCTGTCGACCCTTAGGAATTTCTCAGTGGAGATGTACTTTCGGAACGAGAGTGACAAGGCCCCCTGGCCGCTCAGCCTGCCTGGCTGCCCTCACCGCTGCCCACTGCAGGACTTCCTTCACCTCACGGAGCCCGTCGTGCCCAAGGACTGGCAGCAGGAGTGCCAGCTGGCAAGCAGTCCTGCAGACACAGGTGAGCTGTCACCAGACTCCTTGCTAGTCATGCCCCAGACCAACCTGCAGTTCACATCCTCAAATCTCAAGAGCTGTCGCACTCCCAGTCATCTGACTGCATTTGCTAGGAGTTCCCTCCCCGACCCCAGACCACTTTATACCTTCTCCCCACTTCTCACCCTCAGGTGATGTCTCACTTATATCGCCGAGAAAATAAGAGCCAGGAGAGAATCGGCTCGTTCTTCCACCACCAGCTCCACCAGCTTACTTGCTGGGGAAGCCACTGCTTAGGATGGCCTCTCCACCCGCGCTCAGGTTCTCTCTCCTCACCTCTGCAAGGAGCTCTGACGCCTCTGCTTCCCTACTGGATCACTTCCCTCCCAAAAGCCCATCCATGACCTCTGAGAGCCACCTCTTCCCCAGCCACCAGCCTCTTCCCTCTCAGAATGGAATCCTCGAAAGAGCTGCCTAGACTCTGGCTCTGCTTCCTCACCGCCTGATCTCTTAGACTCACATTAGACAGTCTTGTGTCACCTTCCACTACCCTGAAGCCACACTTGTCTGGTGACCAGTGACCTCCTCTTACCAAAGCCAGTGACCAATTCTTAGCTTCTCTCACCTCTCAGCAGCATTACATAATTGGCCACCCCTTCCTGAAACACTTTCTTGGCTTCTCCTGACTTTAGTTGTCCCTTCCTCACTAAAGAACGGATGACCCAGGACTCATCCCTGGCGCTTTCCCCATCTGTGCACACTCCCAAGTGATCTTATGCAGCCTTATGACTTTATGCCCATCTCCATGCTCACTTCTGTCCTTACGCCCTGACTCACAGATTCACCACCTCTTCTCTGAGCTAGACTCATATCCAGCTGCCGACTTGAGGTCTCTATGTGCACGTTAAGTAAGGCATCTCAAAGTTGCAATGTCTTAAACCAGATGCTTTTCCTTCCAAAGCTGCTTTTCTTCCAGGCTTCCTTGTTTCAGTCAATGCCACGAGTCGCCTAGTGGCACAGTATAGCCCTTGGAGTCATTCTGCATACCGTTTCTCATACCCCTCATCCAGCCCACTGCCAGATCAGCTCAACCTTTCAAATATTAATACGTGCTCTTGCCTCCACAGTCCAATCTACTGTCAGCTTTTGCCGACCGACTGAAGTTTCCTAGTTCTTTCTGGTTCTATTCTTGTCCCTACCAGTCTTTCAGCACAGCAGAGTTAACTGTTTTTATTTTGGAAATGGTTTATTAATTGTCAGCAGTCCCTGCTGCTCTCCACCCAAAGCTCCTTTCTGCTGAGTCTCACTTTTTGTGCCT